GGGGGGGGGCAGGGGGAGCATGGGACGGACCTTGGGTAGGCTGCTCAGCACGGCTCCGTGCCGGCGCGAGGAGGATACAGCGCTGCAGGGCGGATGGCCAGGGGGCGGAGCAATGCCATGGGAACAGCCGCACGGGAAGAGGGGCGCGAGGGGAGATTGGCCATGGATGAGTGGCGACGGAGCGGGGAGGCGTGGCATCGGTGGCTAAGGCTTCGGCGTACCGGAACATGGCGCAAAGTTCAACGCTCTCTGGGGAGGCGAAGCACGATGGAGGGGTGTAGAAGACAGATCGGGGGAGGCGAAACTGGGAAGGGAGGAGTGGGAGGCGAGCCGTATGGCGGGTGTCTGGGCGCCGTTTCAAAGGGACGCCCCTTGCGCTAGGGGGCTTTTTTGCTGCCACCCGCGCGCGCGGCACCGTGAGATCTCTCGGCTGCCGGCCGCAAGGCATAGGACATTCGAGCCAGATGCCATAGGGGAGTTATTCGGGGGGGGGGGGGGGGGGGGCCTTGGTGTGGCGGGGGGGGGGCGGGGCGGGGGGGGGCCCGCGGCCCGGACGAAGGGGGGAAAACACAACAGGAGGAGCCGAACAGAGGGGGAGCCAAAAAAAAGGGGAACCTCGGAGTAGGGGGGGGGGGGGAGAGGACAAAAAACCCGGCGCCGGGGGGGAGGAGAGGGGGGGGCAGACCCGAATCGCCTATCGACGGTTGAATGACAAAATATGATGCCCAGCCCGCCTGGGGCGTCTATTCCCGAGACATCGAGCGAAAGACACATGGTGTGTGTGTGTGTGTGTGTGAAAGGGAGAAACCCAATTGGAGGACGGCCTCTCGGGTGAATCATCGGCAAAGAGTTCGGGAGGGGGGAGGTGAAAATAAAAACAAAGACATGAAATCGAAGCATCTCTCGGGCTGGCGAGGTTAATCGTTGCCGACCTGTTGTCTTCGCCCCAACCAGCGGACCACCCGAGGTGTTTGTCTACAGGGCGCAGCCCCTTCTGCCCTCCCTATTGTCCGACGGAGGGGCGGGACGGGGGGGGGGGGGGGGGGGTAACACCCATTAATTCCCGATTCCGGAAACGTGCTCAGCTGTCCTGGACACGCCGAGCTCGTGCTGTCAAGACCGGAGGAGATCATATCCCCGATCCGAGGGAAGCAGGGGGCCTTTTTGCTGGCCTGGTCGGACGCAACGGCGGTCGGCACGGGGCCGGTGTCAGACTAGCACATACGCCCGGCCGCGCACATATACACAAACTCACGCACGCACGCACGCACGCACGCACACACGCACGCCCCGAGACGCTGTGGGGGAGGGGACGCGCGAGAGCGGGCCAAGGTCGGTGGGGTTCCCCGCACACTTGTGGAGGGCGGCCCCAAGAAGTGAGTTCCCCACAATCGATTTGGAAACAGCTGTCAATCCGACATGTGATACACATGACTCCTACGTGTTTTCTTGGCCCTCGTACATTGGCGAACGAGCGAATTCCATTCCCACCTGGGGGCCCCGTCGCCCTCCCGGAAGAAGCTATTGGTTACTCATTGGATTGGTCAGAAAAAACGTGTCGCCCCTCGCTTCACCGGGGCTCATGCTCGGGCGACCAAAAAGCACATTCTACCTGCTACCCCACGGAGGAGGCCGGGGCGATGGGTTTATCCTAAGCTCCTTCAGGTGCCGGCACGCGCGGGCAGCCGGCATCCTACGTGTAGCTCGAGTCGCCGGGGTGGATCGCCTGGCCGGCGGCGCCAACAACAACCCCCGGTATGCTGGCGCCGGCGTGCATTGGCCAAATCGCGCGGACGTCGGCCGGCCGCGAGGCCTGGCTCGGGAGAAATGGCGTTCATCCAGGCGCCGCGGGCGCTTCCCCGCACCGCAGCTGGCCCTCCCCCGGGCCCCCCGGGAGCCCGCCCCCCCCCCCCCCCCCCCCCCCGGCCACCACCGCACACGCGGTGTGTGGAGGCAGAGTTCCGGGCCCACCGGGATGCAAGCACGCTCCGAACACGCTGATGATGCGCAAGCAAAGGGAGCTGACTCGCCGGTGTTTCTGCCTTCGAGTTACCCCGCCTGCCAGTGGTGGAGGATTTTCACATGCAGGTTCCTGCGCTCCCAGGGTGGGTTACGCGGAGCCGGGGCCCTGCGCTTGCCCTCCGTCCGGACCTGGGCACACATCATCTGGGCTTGAGCCGCCGCTGTTTTGGGACGTCGCATGAGGCCCCTGGTGGACGGCCGGGGGGTACATGTGCGTCTAGGGCATTTCCTTTTCCGGGGGGGGGGGGGGGGAAGCGCACAGATGCCCCGGAGAGACTCCGCGCTTGGGGGGATTTGTGGTCGGGTGTCTCCGGCAGGGGCGGCCGGATGTGCCTATCCCATTTTTATCCTGAATATCGCGGGCTGTCGGGTATTTTTTTCCTGCACTGCATCTCTCCTTTCGGGCAGGCGGACGCACGGGCGGGCGGACGCACGGGCGGGCGGACGGACGGACGTGGGGACTTCGGCCCGCCCGGGTGGGGAGGTCCTTTGCCTTTGTCCTTTCCATCGCTCTGCTTGAGCACGCCTCTCCCGGCCATGCTCCTCTGGAAAGATCTCGCATGTCCTCTCCTCGACACCGGAGGGCGCCGGCGCCGCGGCGCGATCGGGCTAATCAGTTGGCAACTTGCCCTGCGAGCGGCGAACTAGACACCAGGCATGCATGGTGGTCTCAGGCGCACTGTTCCACCTTGCCCATTCGGTCCAGGGCGGTGGCTCGACCCGGCGAGTGCGCGGCCGGGCCCCGGCCACGGCGAGAGTGTGCGCGCAGCAGAGCGGGTGCCGGCGCGGGGCGAGTGTCGGTCCGCGTGCAAGGATATTGCCAGACCGGATTCCGTCTCCGGGACACCCGCTGGTCGGCGGCCCCCCCCCACCCCCCCCCACCCCCCCTCGCGCCTCGGCTCCCCGTCGATGTGAACGCCAAGCCCGGGACTTGTGCGGTATCTCTGTTTTCCCCGGCCCCTGCGTTGGGGCACTCAAACGGGACATCCTCTCTCGGCGCATTGTCCGACGCGGGGCTTCCTATGGGCACCTGCCGGAATCTGATCGGCTCAGGTGCCCGTGTGTGTCTTCATGCTTGGGCGCAGTCCCCCCCCCCCCCCGTCCCCCGCGCGCCCTTGCAGCCTCGCCGGGGCCCGAGGGATCCACTCAGGGCCCAGCGCCATCGGTCTTTGACGTTCCCCGGGCTGGTCGCCGGAGTTTGTTGTCTCCAGCCAGGGATGCCAAGTGTGGTGGTGGTGGTGGTGGTGGTGGTGGTGGTGGTGGTGGTGGTGACGGTGCACGCTCCTGTTCTTCCTAGCACCCCCCCTTCCCCTGGAGATTCCCGCCTTGAACCCCCTAGGGGGGGGCGAGGGTGCCGGGGACCGGCCAGCGCGGTATCCAGGTCTCCGGGTCCCTGGCAGATGCGGAGTCCGAACAGGGCAGCCCGGCACCGGGGCATGTGTACCCGCGTTGTGGACGACCCGGTGTCGGCGCGGAGACTCGGGGGAACACCCACAACCAATCCCAGGACCCCGTCCGAGGCGCCTTGGACCACCCGGTGCCGGAGGTCGGGTATGTGTGCCGGGCCTGGAGCCGGGGCCTGGAGCCGGGGAGGGGGGGGGGGGGGGGGGGGAGAACGGCTCTCGACTAAAGGTCGGCCCGAGGCAAGGCAAGGCCCTCCGGTGCGTGTGCGGACGTCTGTGTGCTCTCTCGCCCTCTCTCTCTCTCCCCCCCTCCTGCGGGCACCCATGCCCCGGTGTGGGGGGCTGGGGCTTTTTTTAGCCGGCGCCCTCCCCGCGGAGCCGCCCCCGGGCGCGCTCGTCACTCTACACGCACAACCAGTGCCCCCGACACCAGCCACCTCTCCCTCGTTACCTGCCGGTCCCCGATCGCGCAGCCTCTCTCCTCCGACCCTCCACACTTAGATCTCCCCCCC